TGAAAAATCAGAAAAAGACTATAAGAAAATAAATCATTCATATCCTACACTAAAACATCATTTTGGACTCTCTCTGACAGACTTTGCCTTTGACTATTAGTGTGTGTGTATATTTATAAGAGTTAGCAGTTATTTTTCAGGGAGTCAGATTGTAAGGGAAATTTCATTTCATATTTTAAGCATCATCGTGGTATATTACTGGAAGTTTTAACGAGTGTATATTGCTTTACCAGTTAAAAAATATTTTAAAATGAAAATACTTTTTAAAAATTACAATCATTGTACACATACTGTCTTATTGCCTGGTTGTTGTTGTTGTTTTAATTTTACAATATATTAAACTTTTTCAAGAAGCAGGCCATTTTGACACAATCCCAGTAGCAGTACTTGGGCATATTTTGTTTGGCTGTAACTAGATATCATTTTATCCCCCGATTTTGATGGAAAATATGCTCCAACACACTATTTCATTTATCAAAACTTACCAGAGAAAACCTTATCTGAGAAAATGGAGGCTGACTTTAGTCTGTGAACCAAAACCCAAGAAGGAGGCCACAGTGTTATATAGACAGAGGGACTAATTTTAATTCCCATCGGGAGCCTAAGAATCCCCTATTTATTTAATGAGCCACACAGTCATTGCCAACCTAGGTGCAATCCCCTATGCAGTGATGACAAAGGGTACACATGCTGTCCCCTGTTCCCCCACCATGCAACGCAGGACCCACTGGCAATTAATTACTGCACTTCAGCCTGGAACTGACCTCCCAAATCCTTCCCAACACAAACTTTGCCACAACCACCTGTATTTCACCACTCTCCTCCACTGAAGCACCTGTTTTCCATCCTATTTGACAATGTCCTCATCCTAGCTGAAGAGCAGACAACTCTGCCTAGAGCTGAGCTTATCATCCGGAAGAAAGCCAAGTATTGACTGGGCAGAACTAGCCACCTGATATAAGTAGAGTAAATGACTTTATAGCATTATCTCCCAAATGTTTCTTAGATGAAAGATAAAACATTTAATGGGCTCTGAAGGCTAAATTGCATTACCCTCTCATTTGAATCCCTATGATTGATGTAGAGAGCCCAGTGCTAGTGACCTGGTCATTAAGACCTTGTCCCACTAGAGGATTTGGGTTTAGGTACTCTCCAGGTCTAAACTGAGCCATCATTTTATCTAAACAGTCACCCTGCTCTTTGAATTGTGCATCGCCTAATCATTGTGCCCAGCCCAGGCACAATGTTGTGTAGACGCCAGCCCAGCATGGTACTGTGAGAGACTAGGGTAGGCACTAGGGTTTCCCTCCATTTTTTCAGCCTAATCACAGGCATAAAATGGCCATGTCAATTTCTATTATTCAAGTAAGTGGAGACTGTATGTATGAATCTACTAGTCTAGAACCTTTGTAAGATGCAAAGATTGATTTTAAAAAAGAAAAACTCTGTCTTAGCGTGCCTATTGAACTAGAAATGGGGTTACGAGGCCACCATCTTGTGGAAATTAAATCAGCACAAATAAATGTGGAACAGGGCAAACATCATACCTCTCAGGGTATGTTCCTTTAAAAAAAATCATGTTAACTACATTTGACCTCCATAACTGTTTTTGGCCTCTGTCTTTTGTTTTTAGTCAAAAACATTCACTTTATCCACATCTCTATAGGATAGAGGGGAAGTGGTCACGTTTAAAGCTTTCTTTTAATGGTGTGATTCAGCTTGACATTTGAAAAAATGAGTTGCCATATACACCTGTCGTTTAAAGGATGAAGGTCATGTTGAATTGATGAATTTATTTCTTTTGACCATAATTTCGGATGAAGTTATTGTCCCAAGTTTGTTAGCTTATTGTTATGCTCAGAAGAGTTATTTTGTTTTGAGCACCGTGCGTGCTAATATATCAAGAAATTTCTCCTCTACCAAGAGCCTGTTGCAAACAAGAGTATTTGTATCAGAAGTTTCAGTGTCTTGAAATTGGAATATGGGGTGATTCATGAGGTTTGCATCATTTATTAAACAGTCATAGGTGAAGATATGCAAAGACGGATGAGGCAGTAAAGTATTCTGGTTACATCTACTGGCTTAGCAGTGATAAATGAGTTAGGAAACATGAAAGTTCAAAACAGATGTTAACCTGAGCTGCAAGTGGCCTGTGCTCTGAAGGGAGATAGACAATGGCTAGATATAAACAACCTAATATACAGATCAGCTACCTGGCAGGATTAAAATAAAGCTAAGGATTTGGCAAGAGAATTGAAGGATTTCCAAATCCTGCCATGTCAATCACCCTTTCTCTTGTGAGGTACTCAAGGGAGGCACAGCACAAATAATTATAACATTTGGAAAACAAATAGGACATTTTTTAAGTCGGGGCCATGTCTGGATCCCACATAATACAGAGTTGTAGTAACAGTGCGTTGGATCATCTGGCTCAGATGTGAGCTTGAGTCTGCCTTGTTTTGACCCGTGTACCTCCAAACGGGAGAGTGAATTTTTCACTCCCCTTTTCACAGGGATTCTGGGTGAAAAGACAGATGTGTATATCATCCCTGGGAGGGTGAATTTTGTTTCCTATGGAGTAACATTTTCTTGGAAACTGAGCCAGAGGCTGACCTTAGAAAAGGCACTTAACTCTTCCTTCTGATATCCAACTTCACTAAAAGGGAAGGGCCATCTTCAAGACAAGAACTTACAAGTTCTCAGGGTACTGTCTAGAGCAATGGAGTCCCTATCAACCTTGCTGCTAAGAGCAAGAGTTTAGACTGAAGTTAAGCCACTTTTTGGCCCCCAAAGACACAATTGTGACTCTGGTAACCTGTAGGCCTGGCCTCCCCGCCACTCTTTTCTTCTGGGAGGTGTTTATGTCTAAAATAGTTTGAGAGCTTTGCCTCAGACTAAGGTACATGACACAAGTCTCAAATGAGAAGCAACACCCATGTCTGCTTTAGATTCTGCACAAGTCAGGAAACATTGTGAGTGACCACCTTGCTGACCACTCACTGAAAAGCCAGAAACAGTAGCTAGTTAAAAGTGCATCCTAGTGCTCACCTGGTTTTCCCAATTCATTCTGAGCCAACTGCCGACACCAAGCAGCCTTCTTCTCTCCTCTTTATGTGGTAGTGCTTTGCTAAGATTCATAAACTATGACAAAGGAAAGTGGTCCGATAATTCACTCAAGGTGCTCACTGGGCTTTCTTACTTCTTAGTGGCCCTGGTTACAGAACTGGGCTGCTAAAGTTACATCTGGATCTCAGTAACCACACAGCTTATTTTGTGTTTCCTTAAGGATAGTCATTTGGAGGAGTCTTCCTGAGTGAAGAGACTAAGATTTCTAGTTGAGATCATCAGTAAGGAATGGGGTGGCCTTTTCTGAAGACTCTATAGATCAAAAGTCATGAACTGGTGACTCACAAAACATACTCAGCCCACAGACAAGATGGTTTTTTTAATGTCATGGCTTTGAAAAATAGAAGTTGACAATATATATAATTTGAGAGACTTGCATAAAATCTAGAATTCTAGCTTCTTACAAAAACATCAGAATATCTAGCAACACATGTTGATATTCATGTCTGCTATTGGCTTAAGCTCAGTAGCCACTTACCCTTAAGAAGGGACCCAAGCTTTCTACTTCACCTCATATAGTTCATTCCATGAACTCCTGGCTCTGCAGGGCTTTGAATTTGCTACCCTTGGAGTCACTCATCTACAAGGCCAAAACAAGAAGTCATGATTTGTTCTTTCACAGGTCCCCTGCTTTCAAGTGAGGGTGGTTTGGGTTTATCCTTTTTACTCCTGCACCAAGAATGGCCATGAGATGCACGTTCATCTATAGAAAGGGACAGTTACATGCAAAGTGGAGAATTTTACACTACTTACCTGAATAAATCAGGCATACAAAGAAAATCCTGAGATGATGATATTAAAGGGAGATTGGAGATTTGAATTATTCGGGGGTAATTGCCTTAGTTTTCCACCTCACTGTTTCTCCTTTGCTTTCCTCGCATGGACATAATCTTAAGAATGTGCCTCTGTCAAAGGCCATCATCATAATTCCCCTACCTCTCTCTCTCTCTTTTTTTTTAAACTCATTTGCACTCCCGGTAGCAATTGTTGGAGCCGGGCAGGGGAATAATTGCAGAGGAATTAACCTCTGACATTTTTCTAAAAATAGCCCTAATAAATCCAATCATAGGTAATTTACCTGTCCGTGTTCCTCAGGGGTAACCAGGGTTGAAGAAAGACCTGGCAGGCTGGCATTCCTCCAGCAATTATCTGTGATCGGAGTTCCCCGCGCCTGTGTATTTTCTTCGTTTGGAAATACGGAGTACAAATAGCCCTCTGCCCTCTGACCTCATGAGCCTGTTTCTCAGCACCTTGCTGCTAGGATTGGAATAAGGCCGTGCTCTTCCAGAAGGGTGTGTGGGGTTCACCAGGAAGGAGGAGCGTGGGGCAAACTGGAGGATTTGTGGGGTCCCTCCTGACTTCCTGACTCCTGGTGTCCGGGTGGTGTCTTCGTGCTCCCTGCTTCCTTCATTTTCCATGTCTGAGCTTCAGTGAAGTTCAGCCCGCGTATGAGTAGCCACAACTCCTGTTTGGAGAGGTTTCTCCTTCTGGAAGCAAGATGAATGCAAAAGGGCCCCGGTGGGTAAAAGGTCTGTGGTTGGTAGAAATTGACCAAAAAAAAAAAAAAAAGCCATTTCCAGGAGCCATTACAGACACGCATTTCCTCTTGCCCCAGACAACAGGGTCTGCTTCTGCTTTTCCCCTTTGTTCTCCCCAGATGTTCCAGAAGGGCCCACTGCAGTGGTCTCCTAGAAAATGTACTTTCCCAAATGCCACTTTTAGTGATACTTAAAATACAGAACATAAAATCCTTGTAAATTCCACTGCAGAGACAAAGCCCCGAGCCCTTAAATGCACAGAAAAGTATATCTATTATCTATCGTTTCAAAGTAAGTGTGCAGTTACTTTAATTGCCTTTGTCTTCTCCTTTTCAGCTGACATTATCTCTACGGTAGAATTCAACCACACGGGAGAATTACTAGCGACAGGGGACAAGGGGGGTCGGGTTGTAATATTTCAACGAGAGCAGGAGGTAAGTGGCAGTGAATGCAAAATGCCCATTTTCTTCTCTTTATAAAGGAGGCCTCCTACTGTTCCTTAATCCTCATGTGTCGCCCTTAACCTTGCTGCTTTGCTAGCAAACTAAAAACTGCCAAAAAGTCATTAACATCAACAGTTCCACATTCAGGCTCATAAAAGCACCTGATAACGGAGCCTTTTCTGGGCATGGCCTAGTCTTTCCAAACCTGGGTGTTGCGCATTCAGAACGACCTCACTTCCCATCTGACCTGCAAAATTCCATGGGTGCTTGTTGAGCAGAGAACTCCTTTTTGAGTGGGATTTATCCCCCAGCCATTGAAATTAAGTCTCCTAATTTCAGGTGCCCCTGACCAAAAGGGAGAAGGGGAAGAAAAAATCCAGCTCTTTGCCAGTAGATGTGAAAAGGACACGTTGGGTCAGGAGAGAAGAGAGTGACAGCTCACTCTACCGAAGGGAGTGATATCCCACAAAATGACATCTGAGCAATGCATGTGGCATATGTTTTACTATAGGTGGCGCAGAGGTCCCTGGAGCTCAGCGCTGCGTGCATTCTGAGCAGGAACTCGAACTTGCAGCGAATTGAATCTCAAAAAACCCATTTCCTCCTGAGACTGGGGCTCCAGGAGGAATTGTTTCTCTTTTTCATATAAATTGAGTTTTTTGGTGTCTGTGTCTGTTTTGCCAGAATGAAATGATGTCCCAATCTGATTTCCTGGGCCTCCCCTGGCATGGTCCTGGAGCTTCTAGCCGGCGGGTGTGAGTTCTAAGACCTCTCCCATCTGTTGCCGCCTGCCTCAGAGATTCAGCAGCTCAGAGCCGGGAAAGGCCCAGTGCAGAAGGAAGGTTTCACAAGAGACTTCCCTAGCAATTTAAAGCCTGCTCTGTGCCTCAAAGCCATTTATGTTACACCTCCCCACAAAAAAAAAAAAAAAAAAAAAAAAAAAAAAAGCCTCATTTAGAGGTGATATATTTGGTAATTGCACATTATTTGCAATTAATTTCTATAAGGGCATCCTAATCCCTCGGGGTTCTCTATAAAGTCAAGTGTTCAGCATTAAATCAGGCACCCGGCCTATTCCATTGGCCCTGGAAACACGAAAATGTGGTTGGCAAGTGGGAACTAATAGCTCTTCGTGACCTGGAATTTTTCCTGCTTTTCCAGAGCTGCCTGGTGCTAATTGGTCTGGCACATGATACACACACTTGACAGTCTGATTTGGATGGTAGCAAATCAACACTCTTATAAATTTATTGTTAAGGTGGACTGGCTGTCTCTGTAGTAAGCAGGATATCAGCATTTAAAGTCCGTTTAAAACTGATTTTCAGACCTTCTTCAATTAAAAAAAGAATCCAATTAGGTTCATAGTGATGATAAAGAACCACCAGAGCAGCCGTTTAGCATAAATTACCCAGGGCAGGATGTTGCCAGGAATACATTCACCGTGATTTCCGTTAGCTATTTGCAGGTTTCACCTATTTTAATGGACTGAAATAGTTGCGAAGCCTGATTCATCTGTAGAACGAAGGGGGACATTTTCCAAAGGAGGGTGGTTTTGTTCAATCAAAAATAAATGTCAAGGAGAGAAACATACAGTTGAGTTTCTAGTTTTGTGGAGGGCGTCAGGTTGGAACAAATGCGAAGCCTGAGAAACAAAGCCAAAGCGACGTGACAGTATATCGGGGTCAGGCCTGCCCCCACTGCCCCACCCACCGACTTCTGTGCGTGACTTCTCAAGAGGCACGCTCCCAGCGAATTTGCTCATAGGAACCTCAGTGCCCTCACGAATACATAGAACATGGCATCAGCACCATCACCCATCAAATTGAGCAAATAGAGATTTTGGTCTGAATGGTCAGTATCCACCCAGAAATACAATTTTTTCATGGAGTCTTAATTTTAAGAGTCAAGCTTTTCTGACACATGCTCAGTAAGGCCTGAACTTGAATTTGTGAGCATGGTTTGCCAAACCTGAATCTGGAAGCTCTTGGTAATAAGGTCCTAAAACCCCTGAAATAAAACCTGCCTTTTCTTTTTTCCCTTCTCTTTCTTTAACATTCTCTTTTTCCTCCTCTCCACCCTTCCTCTCCCCCTTCTGCAGATCTTCTTCTCTAAGTTTCGTTCTCGCATTCTCTACCTAGCTCTTTCTGTTTGCACTGTATCTGACCGGGGCTGGGGGAAGCTGGAGATAGAGCCTGATAATTTTCCCAGGGGTTCATGTGGCATCTCTACACTCATGTCTGTTTTGTCACTTAAATGAGAAAAAAAAAAAAAAAAAAGGGAGGGGGGAGAGGGAAAGATCTGATGCCCAGATCTGCTGTGTATAAGCTGTGTGACCTGGAGAGGTCATTTTAATACCTCTGAACTTCTTTTGTCAATTTTCCTGCACTGCCTACTTCTCAGAGACTCTGTGAGGTTCTGGTGAGATTTTAAAAGGCCAGCAAAACGTGCAGATACTACAGCTTTGTAGTCTTTATGAGGGATTGATGTACGTCACTGTGGACATCAGTGTGGGATGGATCACTCCTGAGGGTGTCCAAGACATCCATTAGGACGTGGAAAGAAAATATTAGAATTTCTTTTTATATGTACTTCTAAACTGTGTCCTATTTTAACATCAATTTCTGTGTATATGTTATGAATACCATATATTAGTGCCAAAGTTCATGTATATAACTTATAAATATATGTATATTGGAGGTGCCGATATTGACCAGTAGGGGTACTCAAATGCTGTGGAGGCCACTCCGCTAAGGTAAACTTGTTGCCTTCATTCTACAGTGACATGGCCTGCCCATCCCACCCCCGACTCTGCCTAGAGTAAGAAGGAATTGGCAACTTTGCAGTTGACTTGGGTGATTTCATCTTTGTGTGTGTGTGTGTGTGTATTTTTTTTTCCTTTCCTACAGAGTAAAAATCAGGTTCATCGTAGGGGTGAATACAATGTTTACAGCACATTCCAGAGCCATGAACCCGAGTTCGATTACCTGAAGAGTTTAGAAATAGAAGAAAAAATCAATAAAATAAGATGGCTCCCTCAGCAGAATGCAGCCTACTTCCTTCTGTCTACTAATGGTAAGTGGAGGTGACTTTGTCTGTTTGGTATTTGCAGAGATGCAGTCAGCAAACCACACATTTCAGCCTCCCCTGGGCTCACTTTTTCTTTTCACCTTGGAAGCTATTGAAAAACTTAGAAACACTATTTGCAAGATGCCTACCAGAGTGCCTGGCACAGAGCAAGTCCTCAGTACATAGCAGGTAGTCTTTTAAAAAATAACAAATTTATGACCAAATTAGGTGAGACCCATTATCTGCAGTTTTTGAGTAATGCAGATTATTTTTAGGTCTTTTTAGAGTCTGACTTGCTTTCTTAAGATTCACTGAAGGTTATTCTGGGAACACATTTCAGAAAACTCAACATGCCATCCCTATGAGTTTGGCATACTGAATAGAAATTATTAACCCCTGAATATATGTGGGGTTTGTAAAGGAGATGGCTTTGTCTCTCTTACACCATCAAGTTCTTGGTCAAGAAGAAGAGAAGGGGGACCCTTCCAGAGCATAGACAAAGAAGTGGTTTATCTCTCTTTCTCCCTCCATTCTCTGCTTATACCATTTATCATTTTAGGGGGAGTTGATATCAATAGGTCAGAGAGAGAGGATGTTGGGGGTTCAATAGAGAGACAAATGTCACATGATTTTGGTAAGCCTTATACGAACTTTATACCTTACAAAGTTTGGTAAACTTTAGACAGTGAAATTACCTACCCTAAAGGTTCATAATACCCTTCTGAAAGGAGCCATCCATGCTCAGAACAATTCAGAATAAAATAATATAGTAAAGGGTGTTAATTGGATAGCATAAAAATTAAGAAGATTAGTGTATAAAAATTGAAAACCTCTACCAAGCAAATAAGCTGGGAAGTGATTCATTTCATCCGATGTATGAGTCTTTCCATGAGGAATATACATTTAAATATAAATCAAGAAGCAAGGGGTTTGCTTTTTGCCTATCCCCAACATTTACAGAGTAATGCTCATATGTATATAATATGATCAAACATATATTAATGTTTTTAAAGACTGAAAGGAAACACACCAAAAGTTTTATCATGATTAATTTTGGATTGTGCATTTTGAGTGACTTGTAAATTTGTTCCTTGTATCCTTTTAATGCATATGAACCCAAAATCCTTTGGTTCTAAAGCCAGTGTAGAAATTATAAAAATGGCAATTCTGAAACAGCCAGTGTAGGGTTATTCAAGATTTAGCTCAGATTCTTAGTCATTTAGTTCTTTCTCAGAGCTGTATATATTGTTCGGTTTACTGTTTTCTACGCTGATTTCTTGAAAGTCAGACCACATGAATACTTTGTGCCTCTTCCTCTTCTTCTTCTCCTTCTCTTTATTCTTCTTCTCCTCCTTGTTTTGCTGTTGAAATTTCACTCAGAGTCTCTGCATATCCAACCCTGTAGAATAAAAGAGACTTCTGATGATTTTGACTTAATTATTTCAGGCAGAGAGAAAGTGTCTGATTATCTTCTCTGGCTAGCTTACTTGATATTATGAAACTTAGCCTATTGATTATTACCATAAAATTCAAAGACTTATTAACTGCTTTGTGGGGGGGATGGGAAGGAAATCGTTGATATGCAATGAAGATTAATTATATAGCATAATGTTCTGTTAATTGAGTTTTTAAATAGTTTTTTGATTAACAAGGATATTATCTTCCCATTTGGGATGCTATTTCATATGCCAACAGCATCTCAAAATGATTCTTAGAAGAAAAATTCCCATGTTCTTACGCGATTTTCTCTTTTATACTAATAATGAGGTTGAGAATTCCCCTCAAGCCAAATAGGTTAACATGCAAAAATTAATGAAAGACAATTGGAATTACTGTACAAAAGAGAAAATGAAGATAGATGATAAGATTGTGTTTAAAAGCTGCCACAAGTAATGATAAACTACTCAGAGAGCCAGCCAGAAAAAAGAAAAGTCATTACTCATAGTAACAGCCACATGTTCTTTCACCTTTTTTATCCACAAAGCTTCAAGATACTGAGTCAAGAAAAATTGTGTGATAATAAAGTCGAGAATGACTCCAGGCAACCCACCCATAGGGAATTGGATTGAATTCACCATCAATTATCTTTTTTTAAAAAATGTACTTATCTCATTATAGTTGGGTACAGTTTTACATTTTATGAGCATATTTTGTCAACTTTACCATTTTTAATGAAAAGTAAAACCAACATTCAATTGCGAGTCTAGACTTTGAAATTATTTGCCAGATGCAAACACATTGCTTTATCTTGCTTTCTACTTATGTTTTATTATTTATGATGAGAAGGAAAGATATAATTGATTTGTTTTGCATGCTATGAAAGTAGTATGTGCTCATTATAAAAAAAATTTTTTTCTTAGAAAATACAGAGAAGCAAAATGAAGATAGTAAAGTGTTTACACCAAGAGAGAACCACTATTAATGTCTTTAAAAGACAAAAAGCAGAGTCATGGATAAATGGATAAATATTTTTGCTGATTAATGAAAATGGAATTATTCTGTAAGCTTTTCTGCAACAAGATTTTTTTTTCCTTACTAATATAACACTTAATAACAGGAGTATCTTCCTGGTTGTTAAATGTTCTCCTAAGACACCAATGCATAGCATTTCCTTGTATGATTTTTCTGTAATTTACTGATAAATCTCCCAACATTAGACCTTTGACCGTGAACAAATTCTTACTATTATAAATTATATATTTATAGGAATCGATGTTAGTATGGGTAGATACTAGGTTAGGAAAAAGGCATATTATAAACTATGCATTCCATGTTACATAAATGAAAAAGTTATAGAATTACACATACTAATATAAAAAAAGGATATGCATAAAACTTCCCTAATAGTTATCTTTGTCTAGTGGCATTGAGGGAGATTTTTTAAATTTATTTTTTACTTTCCAGTTCATTTTCATTTTTTTGCACTTATATTTACCACATGTATAATAAAAGAAGGATAAAATGACAGAATACAAAACCAGTATATACAGTACTATGATAGGTTTGTACCCATCCCCAAAATATGCACAGAAAAAAATATTGCATGTATCTATGCAAAATATTAACAATGATTGTCCCTGCCTGGAGGAATTATAGTTGATTCTTGTTCTCTATGTTTTACCTGTGATTTCTCTGTGTATCAATGTGTCATTCATAATAAGAAAAATGTAAGAGAATTGCCTGGCAACTGGGATGGGATATCTCCCAAAGCCAAGCAATAGAAAGTAGTTGGTGTTAAAAGTCACTGGTCTGTGTTGTTCTGAGTCACAGCTGACCAGTCACTAATCAAGTGACTATAAATTCGTCCTCTGGTTCAGTTTCTGACCCTAACATGCAGTGCACTAGGCAGCAGGATATCCAGAGAAGGGAGGCGCAGAGGAGTGCTGGCATACAGTTAGGAAGATCTGAATTCAACTCTGTGTCTGGGAATGGCTTCTTTGCCTTCCATCCCAGAACAAGCCAGAGGGAGCACACTGTTGAGAGCACACAAATCCTGCACTTGGCCGCCATGCCACGTGTGCCAGCAGACACGACCAACCTGAGTCCTCCCCAGAAAGTAGGAGACAGGGACACTCACCTGTTAAAGTAGCCTAATTGTTGCTGAAAGCCTGCCTCAGAACGTGATGTGTGTCAAACCTCTGAGGACAAAGCATTTGGTGGGGAGATGTGGGAGGTGAGATAAGGAGGCGAAGGAGAAAGGGAACCCTAATAAAGGAAGGCTGCGTGAGGTATGGCTCTTCTCCCGACAGTATTTTGGAGGAAACAGGATGTGCTGACATCATCACAGGGTGAGGCTAATGCTGTCAGAGCAACAGGTTATCACCAGAGAACGGTTGCCCACGTTGCTAATTCGAATAACAGCTACCATTTGTCAACCATTATTAGAAGCCCCAACCCTGTGTTAAACACCAGGTATCATTCAGTCTTAGAGCCCCACGGGAAAGACACTGTTTCCCCCAATTTACAAATAAAGAAACTGAGGCATAGAGAAGTTAAGTGTCTTTATTTGTAAGGTTGAAATATTTGGAACATACTTATACTAAAAAGTCATTTGCTTTTTATCTGAAGTTCAGATTTAATGAGGCATTCTGTGCTCTTTTTCCTCATAAATCCATTGTGCTCATTTGTTTGTCACTGAAGAAACACTGGGCACCTCCTACATGGGAATCCTTGTGCTTAGCCATGCGGCCGGCTGGCGTTGGGGTGAGGCCCAAGCTTGTCTGGTTCCAGAGCTAACCCTGTGCAGGCATAGAAGAAGGTACAGAGAAGGCATTTGAGTCTCTGCCCTGCACAAGAAAAGCTAGATAGCAACCACACATAATGAATGCGGGACCTCTTGAGGAAAGCCTACAAACGGCATGTGGCCCACACGTACATTCTGTTTGCCCCAGACATGTTTTCTTAGGAAACAGATCAAAAGGCTGCAGATGGAGCTCACCACCCACTGCCTCCCAAGCCCTCAGCCCCTCTCACTCATTCCTCCGGCCCACCTCACCCCTGTAGTCATTGGAGACCTTGTCCTGCTTTATGGCGATGGAGAATGACAGGTGTCGGCAAGTAGTTTTAAGTGCTGGAATGGTACAGAGCTGAGAAAGTTCATTTCCAGCTTGGAGACTGCAAGGGGAGAGGAGCATTTTGATGAATGAGCCTACCACCATTTTATATCTCTGAGTATTGCCAAGGGAGATGCACTGTGCGGATACGGAGTTCATTCTTTCACCCAACTAATATTTGTTGAACATCTTCTGTGTCTCAGGCACTGTTGTAGGTGCTGGATGTGTAGTGATGAACAGGACAGAATCCCTGTCTCTGGGGATTTTACGTTCTCATGAGGGAGACATAACAAATGCACTGTCAGGTAGTGAAAAGTGCTAAGAGGAAACATCAAGCAGAGGGAGCAGGTGAGAGAATGGTGGGGACATTCTGATGCAGGTTGATTAGGTAAGGCCACTCTGAGCATGGGATACAAACAGAGCAAAGTGAAGGAACACATGATGTGAAGAGGAAGGTAGAGGGCTTCCCAGCGAAAGGCACAGCTAGTGCAAAGCCCAAGGCAGGAGGAGAGATAATGTGCACAGGGAACTATAAAGTAGCCATAATGCTGGAGCACAGGACGGCGGCCTCACAGTGTGAGACCAGAAAGGAGGAAGTCTGAGTTTGGCTCATGGAGGGCCTTTTGGGTCATGGTAAGGAAGTGCTTGGGTGGGGTGGGACTGAAATGGTGATATCTCCCTCTCGGGGCTGTTGTGAATATTAAATACATTTTCCATGGCCAATGCTGATAACATAGTTACATAGCTAATGCTGTATATGTAGCTGCTCGTATTCACTGTTGAATAAATATTTTTATTGAATGAACCAAAATAACATGTAAGCTCTCAATTTCAAAGGCCATCGTCAAGAAAACCGCTGGTCTTGGCACAATATATACTTTTGTTTTGAAACATGAGCTCTGCCTGCAGATGGCATGAGATTTATGCTCCGAGCCCTTGACACGAACCAGCTTCCGTATCAGTTCCTTCCGTCCTTCCCGCCACCTCTCCCTGCTCCCCGACCCCATCCACATACGAGACTCCTTTACAAGCTCATTGTCACTGTAATTTTGATTTGCTCTGGTCGCCCTCCACAGATAAAACTGTGAAGCTGTGGAAAGTCAGCGAGCGTGATAAGAGGCCAGAAGGTTACAACCTCAAAGATGAGGAGGGCCGGCTCCGGGATCCTGCCACCATCACAACCTTGCGGGTGAGCCAGCGGCAGCTTTTGCCTCTGCCTTTCACTTCTCTCCGCCACCAGGCTCAGTCAGGGGAAGGGCTCCCGGGTTTGGCCACGTGCGGATGCTGCTAGAGGTTGGTTGGAACTATAGTGTGTGAGTAAAGGAGATGAAGTGGAGACTCGACTTGAGTGTCTGCTAGTAGGTGGAGGAGCAGGGCAGGGGCCAGGCTCTGATGACTCCAGATGCATGCATTTCCTTTATCCCCCTGGGACACGCCCACGTGGCCACGGCCATGCGCTACTCTGTGTTCAGCCTCTGTGTGCTCACATTTTCTAAAATGTTTGGAGCATCTTCTGTGCTCATCACATAGGGGATGGGACTCCCCACGTGACGAGTTATGGTTTGGTGGTTCAGAACGTGAACTTCTGAATCTCATGGGCCTGGGTTTGAATTCTGCCTCAGTAGAATCTCATATAGTCACCTAACCCTTTTGAACTCGAGTTATGCAAGTTGTTTTTAGTTTCTCTGTCTGTGAAACAGTGAACCTAGTACTTACTAAACCCAAAACGGTGAACCTCATGCTTCACTAAAAATGTACTGAGGGTGGAAAGCCCTCCTTCCATGGCTGGTAACCAATACATGATTTCTGCTCTCAGACTCAGTAGCTCTGTTTCTGCCCTGCAGAAATGCACACTCTGGGGACACCTGGGTGGCTCAGTTGGTTAAGCGTCCGACTTTGGCTCAGGTCATGATCTCACGGTTCTTGGGTTCGAGCCTCCTGTTGGCTCTGTGCTGACAGCTAGCTCAGAGCCTGGAGCCTGTTTCGGATTCTGTATCTCCCTCTCTTTCTGACCCTCCCCTGTTCACACTCCCTTTGTCTCTCTCAGAAATAAATAAAACATTTTCTAAAAAATTTAAAAAAAGAAAAAAAATTGCACAGTCTGGTAAGGAAAGGATTTGGAGGTCTCCCATAAAAATGCTTATGACAGTAAATAGAGTAAGGTACATGTAGTAAGTGTCTCAGAGCTACAGTTTGATCAAAGGGTGAAGAAATTATATTTGGTTCTAGAGACCAGGAGAGGTCTCATAAGAAAGTGGTATTAAAAAATGGATTTCTGGGGGCGCCTGGGTGGCCCAGGCAGTTAAGTGTCTGACTCTTGATTTCGGCTCAGGTCATGATTTCTTGGTTTCTGGGATTAAGCTGTGTGGATTCTCTCTCACCCTCTCTCTCTGCCCCTCCCCTGCTTTCTCTCTCTCTATCCTTTCAAAAACAAATACAAATTTTTAAGAAATGAATTTCTCAGAGCAAACTTTTAAGGGCAGATTCTCTAGATGCAGGGTAAAGTGGTTCAGGACTCAGTGGTGAGTTTGGTTTTAGATGTGCTTCCTATGAACGGCACAACATTCCCAGATCCACATGTTGAGACCAGCCCTAGCCCCTAGGGTCTTTCAAAACCATCACATATGTGTTTTCAGATACCAGCTGCACTACTGAAGGCCAAAACCTGAGATCAGAGAGATGGTGCAGTACATGTGGGGAAAAGAGGTCGTCACCATAGGTTTAGAAGCAGATACGAGAACTGAATGATCGGGGTTTGCCTGGTTAACTTGTTTGTTTGTTTGTTCATTAATTCATTCATCCATTTGTTCCTCTCTGTATTCAGCAGGTACTGTTTGAGCACGGGCTCAGTGCTGGCCACAGTGCTAGGCTGTCATGTGTTTACCCAGTATTCATGGGCACCTAGTTTTTTCTTTGAGCTGCTTCTGAGCAAATAAGCATTGGCTGCTCAGCTTCCTCTCATCAGTCTGTTTCCTCCTCCTGAAGAGTGGCCTTGCAAAGTCCTCTGTATCAGAGTGGCCTGATGCTTTCAATGCTCAGAGCTTTTGCAGACCTGAGGGTAGAGTCGTGAAGGGGACAGATATTGAGTCAGTCCTCCCTGGATTAGAATTGTGGCTCTATTGCTTTCCAGCCTGGGACCTTAGACATATTCATTAAACTCCTTGTGCCTCTGAAGTCCCACGTGCCTTACAAGGATTCACTGCTTCCCAGGATTTTTGCAAGGACTCCATGCTCTGTTGTGTGTGATGAAGTGTTAACCTGTGTAATGTCTCACTCACAGATAACACTCCATAATGTTAGTTCCCTGCTGGCGGTTTCATATTATCTTCATCATTATCATTATGATGGCTGTTATTGCTCCCTCCTGATAGGAAAAAATTATATTCTTGTCCTTTTTGTATATTTTTTATACTATTGTATTCATTCCACAAACTCTTTACTGATACGTGGGGAGAGGCAGGCAGTGTGCTGGCTATCCAAAGGGAATAAGACAGTCTTTGGCCCCTTGCAACTTTTAAGTCCTGTAGGGAAAACAGATGGCTTAGGTGCCACTGGGGGGTTCACGGCATGAACTTCTGCCCAGATGTCACCTTGTCCTTGTTTGCTCTGGGAATGGACTTTCTCAGATGCCATCTGTAGTTCCCACAATGAATTCCTGTTGGCCGTGGCGTCCTATGGGATTTCATCCATCTGCGGTTAGCCGCTCAGAGATGTTGTCCCCACGATGAAGAGAAGGCCTGTGTGCACGTTTCCTTTAGAACAGAGATTCTCCCCAAGGTGAGACAGTGATGTTATGAAGTGGACTTTGTGCATACAAAACATGGAAGGAGACCTTGAAGTGTAGCTGGAAGTTTGAAACCCCCAATTCTAATTCTTGCTTGCTTCTTAACCAGCTGTGTGACCCTGGGCCAGTGAGTCACATTTCTTCTCTTCCAGCTTAGTTTCTAAGCTGCCACACTGAGGACTAGGTAGTCCTTCCTTTCACATCCATGGTGCTCGTTCCAAATGCAGATCCTCGGGCCCCAGACCCAGTGATTCCCTTCAGCAAATGGAGTGATCCAGCAAAATGGACATCTTTAACACAAGCCCCTGGTGGTTGAGACCATAGGTCTGTGGTCACTGGATTCTGTCAACTCTAAGTTTCCCCTGAGCTATCATTTTTTATGAGCCTCTGCTACTTTTCAGTCATTTCAGTAGTTATTATACCAACCTGAGAGACACACTTGCTATAATATTGTAATTTCCCATATTCACCCCATCTACTTTCCTAGGTTTTCAAATATCCTGTATTTCAGTGTAATCATTCACCCTGCAGCATTCTTGGATGAAAACACTGAGAAGGCCAGCCTCCTCCCCTTTTTGATCCCAGTAGTAGAAGAAGGAAAAAAAAAAAAAAAAACAAGCAACCCTGAAGACCACAGATTCAGAACAATGACTCCAAACAGAGAATGAGCTGACGCGATATTAATCAGCCTGTAATTTACTAACATGCTCCTCTCTCGAAATTTGCATTGCCAGCATTTGTAGCTTTTCCCCCTTCCCTGTCTAATGATTACCTCTCGCTCACTTTCATAGTTTCCAGTTCTATGTGGATCTTGAGAGTGAGAACGTTTAATAATACCCGACAGCTAATTAATCCTCACTGAGTAATGAACCTGATCTATTTCAGTGCTAGGAGGCTCAGCTTTTCAAAGCAAGAATGTGGCTATTTTTTTTCCTTTTTTCATGGGAGATAGCTTTTTCAGTCCAATCATTCATTACCCAAAGAGACTATGAGAAGCACTTCTATGAAAACGATATCTGCTGCTCAGTATCATAACACTGAAAGCAATAATCATAATGATAATTTAATAATAATACTGTATAGCTATAAAATTCCATTTATATCACAAAGTGTTTTCTTACCTAATCCCTTTATTCATCTTTGGAACAGCTGGTGAGAAAGGCAGGACAAGTATTTGGCCAGTGAAAATGCCGGTATCTAGTATTTATTGAGGATTTATTATATCCCATGCCTCCTGCTGAACACTGTATCTGCATTAGCTACCACATGACATATAGTTTGCTGTTAAATACTCATTGTACACATGAAGCTCAGAGAGGTTAAGTAGTATGCCCAAGGTCATACAGAGCTAAGAATCAAATCTTGACCTACTTTCCTCTTGGACCTGAGCCCTTAGACCTGGTGCAGGCTCAGAGAGAGAAACGACTTCCCCATCGCCTGCCAACTGGTTATTCCAGAGCTGGGACTAAAAATCTTAGACTTGGCACATACATTTGAGGATTTGAAAAATAGTATCATTATTATTCCAGGATAGTATCTGTCTGTCTGCCTCTTCCTTTCCACCCGCACCCCTTTCTTTCTTACCCACACATTTATACACAGTGAGTTTCCAGATCCCTGACCTCAGGTCACCAGAAACAGGGACCCTGAGGTCTTCTGTGGTTTCACTTAGCAAGATTCTTCCTGCCCTTCTTTCCCAGCCTTCTAATGCCCAGAGGTAAGAAGCCCTCAGGACCCTTTCTAAGCAACAGAAACTCAGAGTTCAAGTAACTTCATCGGCCTGGGATGGGAGCTGAGTGGTGCAAAATCACACTTAGCATATTTCTCCCTACAGGATGAGCCTGGGGTTATTATTCATCTCATTATGGTTGGCCGCCAGTGCCCTGGAAACCTAGGCCAGATTGGAATTGGCTTTTTAACTAGTTATAAATATAGATTTCAGAAGGTATGATCTCCCAAGCTGTGACTTGCCCTAACCTCCCCCCAAAGTAAAGGGGATGTAATGAATTCCAGTTTTTTAATGGATTTTATCTAGATATTCCTTACAGCTAATATTAATAATAATAGCAGCCGTGTTTAGTACATGCTTACTATATGCCAGGTGCTGGGTTTCACATCCCTCTACCACGTAGGTTTTTTTTTTGTTTTTTTTTTTTTTTTACAAATAGTTTATTGTCAAATTAGTTTCCACATAACACCCAGTGCTCATCCCCACAAGTGCCCTCCTCCAT